CCACCTTAATGTATGACAGTGTCGCTCCCGGCGCATCGACTGTGAGTGCTGTCATTCCGTCATATGTCATACTTACCTAGGCCAGATGCAACGCGGTTACTCACCACCTTATGTATGACAGATGTCCGTGACGGCACACCGCCCGCGCATAGAATAATCATTCGGTGAGCGCCGTCGTTCCGTCAAATGTCATACCGATCCGGACCAGATGCGACGCGGTTACTCACCACCTTATGTATGACAGATGTTCGTGACGGTGCACCGCCCGCGCATAGAATATTCATGCGGTGAGCGCCGTCGTTCCGTCAATTGTCATACCGACCCGGACCAGACGCGACACCGTTACTCACCACCTTATGTATGACAGATGTTCGTGACGGCGCACCGCCCGCGCATAGAATATTCATTCGGTGAGCGCCGTCGTTCCGTCAAATGTCATACATACCGACCCGGACCAGACGCGACACGGTCACTCACCACCTTATGTATGACAGGCATCAATCCCGGCTTGAGGGAGTGGTATGGATTTGACGAGGATATTCATCATATTTATGTGATATTCATTGTAGCACGATCACGCGTGCTGCCTTATGTATGACAGGCATTGCCGCCGGGAGAGGTTCGGCTCTCTCATGCGAGTACTTGATATCGTCACATGGCTCGATAAAACCGCACGATGGCGATGTGTGTGGTGAGCTGGTTCTTAAATCATGGGGCACTGGCTCTGTGAGGCCATGGTGGATCCTAATGGCTGAACGGTATGCGCGCGAGATTGCGCATGGGACGCGACGGGCGCAACGCGACGCGACGCGTTCATCGTGATCACCCTTCCCGGTTGAAGGTCACGAGGCCCGCTCTGCAAAACGGGCCGCGCACGGGCATGAGCTCCCCAGCATGCTGCAGCATGCACGCAGCGCGCGCGTGGCCCTTAGGGTAATCGCTGGCATTCTCCGCGAGCATCCTTAGAAGCTGAGCGGTGCGCGCGCTGCGTGTTGCCTGCCTGTGTCGCCTCAAGAGCGATGGTCCTTGCCCATCAACAGCTTCCACAACGCCGACATGCCCAGCCGCTCGTCATTTCCAACCACGGCAACAGACGTAACCCCCTGGCGACATCGAACATCGAGCAGTGCATCCAATTGAGGAATACTGAGATTTTTGTGACTCGCGACATTCGGTGAGTGCAGCACATTATTATATCTTGTCATACATACGCTGAAAGTTTGCCTCAGCGTGTTTCATCAACACCTGCGGTCAACAGAACAACAATACCAAATACATGGGCGTACAACAGCACGTGTCGACAAATCCGCTCACAACTTGGCAGCCTACGCTCATGTCTGGTGGAGCCTACTCTATTCCACCCGGGCTGCTGTTGCTTCTAGGGAGGTGAGGCTATCCTTATTATTCTTATAGGTTGCGCTGCGACGACACTTAGTTGTAGGGCACCAATTATTCAACCAAACCAACGGACTGGCGCAGATTCAGGTGTGCCCACAATGTTCTAACTGCCACGCTTGCGCCAGTCTTTCATGCTGTACACTGCAGCTCTGCCTGGCTTTGGCCGCCAGCCCCGCGCCCTCTGCCAAGAGCAACACCGAGCGGTGCCATCACAGGCACGCTTCATCGTACGTCTCTTATTTTCTCATACGAACCGTCACGCAATGCCTACTTTCTAACAGCTGCTAGGTGTTCTATACAGGTGGATCTCCGACATCGAAGCACTGAGCTCAAGGAGGGGTGCGAAGTTGAACGCTCATGTACCGTGGGCGCTGAGTGGCCAGCTCGTTCAGACTCACAAGCTTCGACAGGCCCTTTCCTCCAACGGCGCTCACTGCAAGGATCCATGGGCCCGTGCCCCCTCCAGCCTTCATCGCGGTCTGCGAGACTCACCCCGTCGTCCGAGGCATCGCCCTCAATACAACACCCTTGCATCGCTCGACGTCCCGCGAACCTCCGTCGCCATCAGCACGACGCACCCCGCCCAGCATCCCCCTGAAGCATGTGCGGCCTGCAACACGACTCGCCGCGTCGCTCGGTGTCCCTTCCAGTCTGCGTCGCCACCAACACGGCTGGTTGCGCTGCTCAGTGTTGTTTCCAACCTCCGTCACCATCGACCCGACTCGTCGCATCGCCCGGCGTCCGCTTGAAGCGCCGCCAGTACGACTCGTCGCATCGTCTGACATCCTCTCCCGCTTCGTCATCTTACTCCAGACTCGTGATCGTTAGGCTTTGGTAGAGGTGTACTTCATCCATGCATATTGATGATGATACGATGGTGCCACAAAATCTGAATGCAGTACGGTACATGGAGAGCAGCAGGCCCTCAGCGCGTTGGCTAGTCGAACGAGCTCACGCCTCGAGGGATTCTCCATCGCACTCCTCATCAGACCCCAGTGAACCTTCATCGTTTCCTAAGCCATGGCCATATTGAGGATCATGCGAGCGAGCAAGACAAAAAACCAAAATCGGAATGCGCACCGCCGTTTTTATCCTGGCTTCTCCTCTCAGCTCATTCTTGAGCGCGCTTGCGCTTCTTCACAAAAACTTTTGCAGATCAGTAAGAAGCTCCAGGTGTACAAAAGATACGGTCACTTACCTATCATGGCGGCATCCATTTCGCGCGGGTCAGTGATTATAAGAGGCTCGAGCTTCATGATCCAATCTTGACCTAATCCGTGGACTTTCAGTGGTGGGAGCCATAACTTCGCAAAGACCTTAGCAAGGTCTCGGAGAATGCTTGCTTGACGGGACGCGTATGCGAGTAGGCCATGAGCTAATCGAGGGTTGCTCTTGACTTTTGAATCACCGCTCTGGTCGCGGCGTTGTCCCTGAGTCTCCCACCAATCGGCTTTCGCAAGAAGGTAAGTCAAGACACGCCGCATTTCCTCTACCAGAAGGCAGATCTCCTCCTCGTGCCTTCGCGTCCTGGCGCGCTGGCGTGCCCACTCGCTCCGCATCTGCAAATCCATTGCTCGGCTGTCGGCCACCTCGGTCACCTCAAAATCGGTGTGGTCGGTAGAGTAGTCGGTTATCAATACGGTCCAAATCCAAGATGGCGTCCGGTGAGTCTCCGAGGGCTGCTCTTCAGAGTATGCGCTGTTGTCATGACGACGTGGGCCACGAAGATCCTCGCGGCGTAATTCCCGGAAGCGTAGAGACCAGGGGCCGCGTGGGTCTAGGGATCGCATCGCGGTATACGCCGACCCATACGTGTCGAATGCGCGATTGAGCTTTGCGGCTACCGTATCCATGAGGGACCGGGACCTCGTTCCCTCCCGTTGACCTATGCCGGATTTATGAGTTCTCGGGCACGACTGCATAAAATTAGCAACTTACTACCGGCGGTATGCTTCATTTTCTGTCGTACCGACGCCACAAGGCGCTGAAAGCGCCGCACATTGACTAAGCTATCCTTCAACAAGGCCTCGGCGTAGCGCTTCTCGGTGTCGACAATCCCCGGAAGGCATCCTTTGCTACGCAGCGTGGCCTTGAGGTCCGAAGGAAGTAGGATCGGGAGATTTTCGGCGTTAATTGTGTCACCCGAGCCAAGGTCGTCTTCTCCCAGTTGAGACATGCGCTCCTCTATACAACCGGGCATGTAGATATTCTGGATTCGGTAAAATTCGAAGACCCGGCGGCGAAATGCCGCGCGCCGCTCCTGCAATGTGGCTTTTGCGGCTTCGGTAGCATGGGCCTTGGTATCCGCTGCGTGCTGGCGGAGTTTGCGACTAACGTTTCAGGTCAGGACAGTTGTGATCGCGTCGGAACATATCAAGACCTCACCGCTGATCAAGGAGGCAGAAGGTTTGATGGACGAACATGTTCCCGGATGTCGCATGTAGTGCCGTTGCGTCGGGTTGGCCTGCCTCCGCTGCATCCTCCTTAGCGAGTTCGCCACGCAATTTGTTGACATTGATGGCTGAATTGTCGACATAGGTTAGTGCACATGTGCCACGGACGGAGAGTCAAACAAGACGTTACCTTCCTCGATCTCCTCGTAAGGATTTGGCTGTTTAGGATCTTGCTCCCACCGCCGTATCATCAACTCCCAGTCCTGAATAGTCTCTTTCGAGAAACGTTCCGTAAATTCGTGAAGAACTTCTTGATGTGTCCGCATCTCATCTTGGGTATTGGTGAGCGACCGATAGAACCAGTCTCCTAGCGGCAAGGAATGAGCAGCGGAATGAGAACAAAGTAACCTGCATACCGAATCCTATAATCTTGCGGAAGTTCCAGAACGTCCAGTGGTCGTTCAGTGTGTGGTGTCGAGCTGACGGGCCCATATCGCGAGTCATTGTTGCGACTCCGCCGATGTGTGCCCATTCTTGCTCCACGGTCTCGGCATGGGTCAGTCCAACGTCCTCGTGCAGGAGAAAATAGAATTCGGTTTGACATTTGAGTTTATGTCCGTTAATATGGAAATTCGGTATAAAGAATCGTATTGCAATGACGGCAAGTGCTGCGTAGGACGCAGGAAGCTTCGACTGTCGGCGGCGAAGGTTCTGCTTCCATTGGCATGCGATGTCGTAGCTCGCAATGACAGGAAGCATCGCCCCGACCAGAAGAAGGCTGGACCAAAAAATCCAGTCCATCGTGACATATCTGCAACGAGTCAGCCTTCGACATGCAGGCGGAATTATTGAATACGTACTTCTCACCGCGTTGGAGATCTGCGACGCCGTTCGGCACCATCAACGCGTGTCTGGCGCATTTGACAGCAGCAACGCCTGAAACAGACATGACGTCGCTTGATGCCTTCTTACTATTCACCGCTTTGATGGCGTGGAATGTGGAGTCGCATGGATCGATTTTCTGCACCCCAAAGTTAGCGCACAGTTCGAACGGCAACCTTCGCTGCTCACCTCGGGCTCCTCAACATACCGTTTGAGGTGCGCCTGATATTCCGCTTCATCGACAAAATATCCCGTACCGCCCCCAAGCTCGGGATCATCGATCTTCCTGTCTCTATTCTTCATCTTGAAGCAGGCATCCAGTGCGAGAAATAATGCGTATAGCCATCTGTAGAAGGATTAACAACGCAGACTAGCCTTCAGCATCGCAACGCACTTGATCTCCGGCGGAGCGCTTTCCCATCCCTTCGGCAAATTCCAATCTGGTTGCGGGCACGCCGGGCAGGGAAGCGCAAGGCCGCCTCGCTGGGTGCCGCTGATACCAGAGGGATCGTGCCCGCGGCCCATTCGCTTTGCTTGCATCAGGTGAGCGTATTGCCGTGCGGCGAGAGCCGCCTCGTGATACCGATACTGTAGCCATGAATCATAAATAAGTGGTGTAGACAACACGTGCTTGAGAAATACTGATGATTCGTTGTTGGAGACCTGCGTTGTCGGTTCTGTGGATAACCGCGAGGTAATAATCATGAAGTGATATCTTGCCTTGAAGTGTGAGACGATGAAAAGTGTCGAGAAATCGGAACGTGAACGCCGTCTGCGGTTGTATTACGGACGCCGGATACCACCCGATGTCGAGAAGTTGGTCCCTATGGGAGCGCGTGTCGGGCACTTTGCAGTCACAGAACAGGAGGTTGACCGAGTGGTACCCCTCGGAGTCGAAGACCACAAAGTTCGTGTGTCCTTTGACGGAGTTACAGCATGATTTGCCATCGGGGTGACCCAGCTGCACCTTCAGCCCAAGTTCTTGAAGAGAAACCGAGCGAAAACAGCTGTCTGCCCACATCTAGAGAGAAATGTGTGGCCATCAGCGAGTGCGTTTATGATGATGAATAAAAGAAAACTACCTGAAGATGATGTAGTGGAAGCCATTGGTGAGCACCCAGAATGCAGCCCTTGCAAAGCACCCGACCTCCGCAACAGTCTTGGCAGCGATACACGCCCATAGACGCTGGGTCACAACATCCAATACATGGCACTGGGCGAGGAGTCGGGAGAGCTTCATGTGCGAGTATGTTGTCAAGGTATTCGTCGCGGTGCGGAATCCATCGATTCATGCGGTCCTATATCACGAAGATCTCGTTGATGCTAGGTGACGCATAGATCGGACGTAGTCGACTCACTCCGATTGTCGTCGACTCTGCTTGCGTGCCCTTGCGCGCCTTCTTGCGTGCTTGAGATGCATCTGCATCGTCGCCAGGTTGCCCAAGGCCCTCAGATGCTAGATTGCTCTCATCGGAATGCTGTGCCGCTGGGGTCTCCATGCATGTCGACGGCATGTTGGTTGCGGATGCACTGAGTCGGCCATTCTTCTTGGATTTCAAGATCACCGACCTCGCACGAGCTGGGATTGGAGATTGTGACTCTGAAGCAGACGTGAATGTCGGCAGTTTCTTCCGTTTAGACATATCAGACCAGCAGCGATAGCAAGGTGCAGGCTGGACGATAGCGGAAGTTTGGCAGAGGACGGCACTCCAATGCCGCAGTCGGCAATGAGAGGCCGAAGTCGGCACTGAGAGGCCGAAGTCGGCAATGAGAGGCCGAAGTCGGCATGCTGATGCCGCTGCAGTACCGAAATGCGGCACTGTCTGCCGTCACGATTCGGACACGAAGTTGAGCACACATCTTGCTTCATGTTGTGCAAGGTGATATATGTTCATGCCATGAATGTAAACATCAGGAGCTAGTCATTTCACAGTCATCTATGGAGTTCCGTAATCTCCAGTGCATACACAAAGTATTCAGACTTCTGTTGGAATCGCGCGCGGGGAGGTAAGAAGCTGTATTGCATGAGAGGATGCAGCTCACATCGTCAACTACAATCATCACGGCTCCTGAAGTTCAAGATATCTCATACACACTGAGTAAGAATCCATTATATCTCCAACGATGAGTCTCTAGATACAATTTTGCGTACTTCAATTGCGATGTTACTGACTGATAGAGCCGTCTCAAATGTCTGTTCCACAATCTGGCGGATGTGCAAGCCTTGCGCCTAAATAGCCCGTCTTCCAAGCAAACTTAAGAGGTAGCATGATACGCTGTAGTGTATTAAGTATGTAGAGAGTCATGCAGTACGCGTGAGTCCACCGTGAATGAGATATGGAATGGAGCAGGGCATCGGCGTATACGGCTGAGCAGGGATGATGGAGTTATTCCACAGGAAACGATAATGAGCGCAACAGATACATACTTCACTAAGTAAGCTGATACACTTTAGATTATAGAAGGGGAGCTCATGGAGTGCCTGCGCCGGGAATTCTCCCAAAACCGCTACGATGTTGCAGATCTGTGGAGCCGTCTTGAACGTCAACTCCCCTGCCTGGCTGACGTGCAAGCCTCACGTCTCAATAACCTGTCTTCCCATCATATTGAGTAGGCGGCAGAATAAACTATAGCGTGCTGGGTATGTAGGGAATCATGCAGTACATGAATCCACATGAGATCTGCAACAGAGCGGGGCAATGTCGTATACGGCCGAGTAGGGATGGCTGAGCTATTCCGCAGGAAACAAGAGTGAGCCGGACGGATACATACTTCACGAAGCACACTGATACACTTAGACTATAGGAAGGGGAGCCCATGGAGTGCCTGCGCCGGGAATGCTCCTAAAGCTGCTACGATGTTGTGGACTGTGGACCAGCCCCGAATATCTGCTCCCCGGCCTGCCGGATGTGAGCCTTGTGTCCTGATGTTCCATTCTCTCGCAAATCCAGAGGCGGCTGAATAAGGTATATTGTGCTACATACGTAGGTCGTTATGTAGTACATGTCAGACCACAGCAAGATATACTACAAGGCAAGGTAAGGCGGGCTGTATTCGACTGAGTGGGCTGATGGAGAGATTTTCGACAAGAGACGATGGCAAACCGGGCTGAAACGCGCTTCGAGTGATCTACAAATACATATAGTGTCGCAAGAAGACGGGTCCGCGGAATGTTGGCATCACGCAACGCTTAGAAAACCACCGCGACATCGCCAGCTTGCAACGCAGCCTCAAAAGCTTGCTCTGCAGACTGGCGAGATGGGTGGCGGCGGTAAATCGAACCGCTGACATGCAGGACAAGAGGGGAAACGGTCTCCCTAAAGAAACAGTTAATTGTGCACGCATTCAGGGACTAAGTTCTTACCAGGTATGGAAGACCCCAACTGACTTCCCGCGGACCACTGCGTACCAAGGGCCATTCGTGATCGGAGCGATGGCGACAGAGCGGCCGGGCCTGCATGGCTCGGGGCTGGGCGGAATGGGCTCGCAATACTCGCTAGAGTACGCATAACGTCCCGTCAATATCGCAGAGTCGTGAGCGGATGCATGGAGAAAGCGCGCGTTCGGGAGGATTGGAACGACGGTGGGACCAGAGGTCTGCACAGCGATGGTGGATCCCCGCAAAGGACTCAGGCCGGCCGAACCGCTGTTACCGTGCGCAAAGGCGAAGGTCGGGCGACCGGAAGCAGAGCCGGCATCCGAGGGGGGCGGAGTCGGGGGGCGACTGGCTGTGGCGAGGGATGCGCCGTCATCGTTGTCGGCGTTGTCAACGACGTTGCCATTGCGGTCGTTGAGGTCGTTGAGGTCGTTGCCGTGGCCTGTTGGTTTGATGAGTTGTCGATAGCATGCGATGCGTACAACAGCATATGACTTACGGAGCTGCAGCCTATCAACCAGGGCGCTGATCTGGGCGAGAATGTTGTCACACTCCTCTGGAGTCTGTTGAGAGTGTCAGCCGGATATATTAAGCCAAGGATGGGCGTACGATAGCGGCGATGGTCTGCTTAACCATTGAGAGTGAAAGCGAGGGGAAAGCTAGTGGGTTGAAGTCGAGACTGGGGATACGCACCCTAGTTGCCAGCCTTTATCCCGATTCTCAATGGCAAGATTTGGTGATATCTGTCACGGCGCGAAATGTGCCTGCATAACACCCGGGCGCTGAATTCAATCTTGAAGTGCCTTGCAAGTTGACGCGAAGGTCTTCTTTGGTGATGTCATGCGCGCTCTGTGCCACAAGGTGGCCACGGATTTAGCAACGAGGAGATAACCAGGGGATTAAGTGATCGTCACCGGCGGTATACGAGAGGGTGGTGCTGGACAAGGTTGCGGGGTGACACGCGGAGTGCTTCTGGCCCCGATTTGTCAGTACAGGTGCCGCGCAACCAAACATGTCATTCAACATCCCACAAGAAGATGGAAGTAGCCCGCTATAAGTTGAGCTTCAAACAACACGAGGCCAAAGCGTCGATTATGATTCATTGTGCAGAGAGCGTTGGATTCTTACCTGACAAGTTGAATAGAGTGGGGATGCACAAGGCTGCGCTGTTATTTCTCTTAATGAGCTCGGAGACTATACAAATACCATGTATGAGCATCCAGCACCATGAGGGAGACAGATGCGCTGAGAGATACGTGCAGACAAATCAAGCCGTGATCAGCGGAGGTGTGTGGCAGAAAAGTAGTGAAACGGACCATGGCCATGGCAAGAGCACATCCCAGGCGGACCTGCGTTTCTCGTCAGAAAGAGAGGCCAAGGCAATGGAACAAAGTCCGATTACCTTGAGATCCTCGCACCATTCCGCAATACGTGAAAGGTTCGAGCCTGTTCCAGACGAACCTCTCATTAGGAAGTGCGCTGCAATTTCCCTCAATGAGCTCTACTCACTGAAATTCTTCTACGACCCTTTGGTGCCACGAGGAGGGGTGGTGCAGCGTGCCACGATGCTGATCTGTGCAGATGATTTGGGCGGACGTCGGCGGAGAATGACCATCAGTGAGTGCTGGGCTGAACAACGGGTCGGATATTGATTTGCTGTTGTAGTCGGAAATGTGGCCAAGCAACGTGCAACGGATCGGCCATGCCCTGTATATCAATGGCGCTGGAGGCATTTGTCGCGTTCAGTCATACGCCCTCAATTTTTCATCTAACTTGCCTTATCATCCTTGAAAACTTGTACTCGCTTGTGCTCTTGATCATGACTCGATGCAGTGTATTCTCCGAGGAGGAGAATGAGTGGATGGAGAAGTATCTACGCGAGTGGGGGACCACCAAGTCGAAGATTAACTTCATGTTGAAGATCTCGCCTCTGTTCTTCAAAGACTTCCCTATTGATCCGACGCCAGAGGAGATAGCGAGTTGTGGAGGAGATGTCGCGCAGGCGAGGGTGCATGAGGATGTTGTGCAGCGCTATAAGGAACGCAAGGCGGTGAGTAGTAAAGCGCTTCAGAGTACGCATTGACGCTGATGCGGACCTACAGCAAATCAAGACCTGGTTCGCTAACCACAGCCGCGAGCGCGGTACTGGTCCTGACATTCCTGGCATCAAGCGTCCCGTACGATCTCGTGTGCTCTCTCTCGAGACCAAGCCCAGGAAGCCTCAGGAGTATCAAGCCTGGCAACGCCTGTACTATCACAACGAAGATGTGCAAGCGGAATACAAGGCCGCCTGGGCGCAGGCAATGAAAGAGGGCTGGACGTCCGATCAACAGGTACGTGCGCCGTTTTGCGACACTACACGCTCGCTTATGCTGTGTATTTGAGGTCAAATTTCAGTCGCAATTTGCCCAGCAGCATCTCGACGCTGCCGATCCAGAGATGCTTCAAGCCGTCCAGGACTATTGCAAAGAGGGTTATCTCCAGAGGGACGATTTAGTCCTTCCGGTTGGCGTCCAGGACACGGAGGATATGCGACGAGCATATCGCATGATGGAGTAAGCACGCATTTCTCGTCTATGATATACATGTACTCATTTTGCCCTCAGAGCTATCGATAATCTACCGCATACTATATCAGCAGCAGCAGAGAGCTGGCATCGACAGACCGGTTTACAAATCTCCATCATGGTTGGCGGACCCTTCCCGCACTCAGAAACTGCGGAAATCCAGACCATGTAGTAAGTTGCTTGCATGTTTGTATCGTTCGAACACTCAAACGACCTCAATAGCTATGGCGCCGGCAAGAATCTCCTCGGATGTGAGTTCGTCGACGTCAACTCGGACTTCAAGACGGACTGGCGAGACGTCTTCCATACCTTCTGTGAAGGTTCATACAGTAAGTATAGCATCTGCATCCGCGTGCGTAAATCTCACCACCGTCACAGCTTCGCAGGAACGCATGCGCCGCCGTGTTGTTGTTGCGGCTGATAATTCCGCAAAGCCTGGCTCAGCACCTACCGCGAGTTCTTCCGCGGTCCTCCCGCAAGCTGACGAAAACACACCGCCGATTGGATGTGCACCTCCTGCCGCCGTCGCTATGCGACCACATGATACTGCATTAAAACCAGTCAACAAGCCTGCAGACGACGCTATAATTGATCCTCAACTCCTCGGACTCATTTCGTTCTCGGATGACACTCATATCGAAGCGCCAGCATCTGTCCCGATCCAACAGCACCTCCAAGCAGCCTTGCCCCAGACGCCTCACTCGCAGCCTGCGACCACCCCCCCTCCGCCCGTTACGGTCCTCACAGCGCCTATTCCAGCTTCACCTGAGGTCGCTTCAGGCTCCGGCGATGTCGGCCTTTCAGGTGCTGCGATCGGGATGCCGGTTGTTCAAGACCCCGCAACCCCTTCGCCTACGACGCCTTCCTCGCAGCCTGCGATCACCTCCCCTCTACCCGTTACGGTCCTCACGGCGCCTCTCCCAACTGCACCTGAGGTCGCTTCAGGCTCCGGCGACGTTGATCTTGCAGGTGCTGCGAACGGGACGCCGGTTGTTCAAGACCCCGCAACCCTTTCGCCTATGGCGCCTTCCTCGCAGCCTGCTAATGCTTCTCCTTCTTCAGTCACCGCCCTCTCTGCACCTCGCCCGGCTGCACCTGAGGTCGTCGCAGGATCTGTCGGCATCGGTCCTGCAGGCGCTGCAGTCGGAACATCGACTCTTCACGATCCCGCAACCCCTTCGTCCACGACGTCTCCCTCGCAGCCTGCCAGTGCCCTCTCTTCGTCTGTCCCTGCCCCTGCTGCTGCTGAGATCGCCGCAAGCGGCCCAACCGTCGACTCTCAGGGCAATGCCGCCCGACCATCTGTGTCAGAGGATGATTCAGATCATCCCATCCTCTCGGTGACATACTCAGATCTGGACGAAGAGGAGAACGCTCTGCCTTCAGCAAGAAAAATCCAGACCCGGGCATCTTCGCGGCCAAAGAAGCTCAAAATTACAGGTGCCGAGGGATTTACTCTCGACTTCTCTCAGCCGACTGGCGACCTCGTCAAGAACATCAGCTTGTCCAAGGACCTTCCAGAATACTTCACGGCTGCAGTTGCATTTTTTGCGGAGGCCGTGACCGAGCCCGCATTCGTCAACCTGCTTCGAGCCTACATCCTGTTTGAGGCAAAGGCACGATTCCTCAGCCGGGTGAGTCCAGTACTACCCCATAACAGACTTCACTGGCACTCAATCCATGTTCAGAACAGTGTTACGAAGTCCTTAATGCGTCCGTCGATGACCACGAAGTGGATCAACAACACCAAGCGCACGACGTATATGGTCACCTGCGATGAACCTCAAAAGGACTTTTTTTCCTGGAATGCGTGGTGGATCTCGTTGCAGCCAAGCTGGCGCTGCCGCCCAAGTGCACCACTTTCACGTGCAGTTCCCCGTGGTCAGAGCACCACCTTCCCCGAAATCAAGAACGGCAAAAACGGGGTCGTCGTCGTCGTACTAACTTTGGTTTGGATTTTCCTTGGCGCCATGGCCCGCAACGAGGGCGGGGTCAACGTCAAAGTACTCGAGGCCGTTGAGGATGTCACCTGGGTCTTGACATTGGCAACCAAGACGCCCGCGACCGCGGACATCAACGAACCGCGGCGTACTCAAAAGTAGGTTTCGCGTGTTTATGCGGGGCTCTGGTCGCTCAACTACTTCTGTTACAGACGCTCCGCGAAGACAGCTGCTATCAACAACGAAAACGAAGTCCCTGCAAAGTGAGTTAACCATCGGCATGGTTCATCGTTTTGCTCATTCCACATATGCTAGGCGTACTCGCAAGTCCAAGACCGCGTGAAACTCAATCGTCCCTACACCTTCCGCACCACCTCTTTGTATCATCTTGAACTTCTTGTCGTGCCCCACCCGTCACCACCAGTCTCCGTGTTCCATTACTGCGCATTCTTTCTCAGATTAGATACCCATGAACTGTCACAGTACAAATAATCGTCGTTCTCCCATCCTTCGGTAGCTTCCTATGCCACCGTCCGTGTATCATATTGTTGTGCATTGCGTAACAAAAGGGTGAACTCATGAATCACCTGGACTTGTGCTCTGGGCAAGTAACATGACTCCACACACAAGGAATGATAGAGTCCAGCGCACGCGTCGGGATTGAACTCCGTGTTAAGGCAAAAACGTAGCAGGGTAAGATGGCGCGTCTTAACCCATTGACCATAGGTGTCTATGAAGTACAGCGTTAACGTACTGCAAATGTACACAGAGTTCCGTCAAAGTCGAATCTGTATGACAGGACGCGACAGGACACGAAGGTGGGCCATTCGGGTGGGCAGAGTGGAGGCTTATTAGGGAAGTATGTATGACACAGGCTCTGCTGCACGAGTGACGGGATATATTACAGAGGGGAATGAGTGTTTGTATGACAGGGTGTAGGATTGTGATCGAGGCGTGTATCGGTGATGTCGAAATGTGTATGACAGGACGCAAAGACGGGCCATTTGTGTGGGCAGAATCGAGGCTTGTTAGCGAGGTATGTATGATACAGGCTCTGCTGCCCAAGTCGCGAGATGTATGACAGAGAGGGTAGCAATCAGAGAGGGTAGCAAGCACCGTCATTATTCCCGAGTGTTTGTATGACAGTTTGAAGAATTATCATCAAAGCGTGTATCGGCAGTGTCGCAATGTGTATGACAGACAGGGCGGACTATCCGGGTGGGCGAAGTCGAGATTTGTTAGCGAGGTTTGTATGACACAAGCTCTGATGGGTGAATCACAAGATGTATGACAGAAGGGTGGCGAGTAGATCATAATCTGGAGCAATATGGCAGCTGTGGCGCAATCCAGTAGCGTTATCGCAATTTGTATGACTGGCCGACGCGGGTGAGGCGGGAGCGGCGGAGTACAGAAATTGTTGCCGAGGTATGTATAACAGGGGCGAGAGTGCGTGGGTCGCAACATGTATGACACGGGCGATGTATGACAGAAGGGCGGCGAGTAAATTACAATCTGGAGCGATATGGCAGCTGTGGCGCAATCCAGTAGCATTATCG